CGTTTTTTAATGTCTGTCTGTTGTGCTTTTTTTTTTTTTTTTTTTTTTCTTTTTCCTCTGTATTAAAAAGAACTTTGAATGAAAATAGAAGTCTAATTCACAGTGCAAATGGTGGAATCAGGAAACTTTTTGGTGCGTTCCCTTCACTTAGAGTTTGAGAATTGCAGTCAAACAGAACTACTTGACAAAGGTCATGCATACGCTGCTCAATTCTACGTACTGATTGTGTTTAAACCTTGCTGATTTGGCTGTTCTGGAATGGACTGTGATGGCTCAGAAGAAAACACTTCCCTTCCCCACAAGGTCTGTGCTCAGCTGTCAGGTGCAGAGAAGGGCTCAATGCAAGTGGTGTAACTCAGCGGTGTTGGTACCCAACAAAGCGATTACTGCTCCAGCCACAGACCATCCTGTTAGATGAGCTAACATCTCTGAGAGCAATGTGTGACTCATTTCTTCTGAACTGGATCCTTTTGGCTTTAAGTTGTGTAAAAATCAAAGCGCTGCTAGCTTTAACTTCTGAGCTGAGTGGGCAGTTTAGGGAGGAATTCTTTCCCTCCCCAAATCATCCACATAAAGCTCGTGCTTTTCCTCTTTTTGCTTTTCTCAAAACTTCTGCTGCCACTCATGGCCTTCCTCAAGGCTGGCCTTGCATAGATACTTATCCAGACAACGCGGGATGAGCTCTAGCCATGACCGCAGCATGTGTGCTGACAACTCTGCTGGCATCTCTCTTCACCTTGGGGACACCTGTGATGCCTGCAGGGGATGTCTAGACCCTGTTGCTTGTTGCAGGGGCTAGATGTGCTATGAACTTGAGTTGGGGTGGCTGTGGGAATTCCACCCTGATGTTTTGGAAACGGTGGAGGTGAAACCTTCCTCTTCATGGTAGATGATATTGCCCAGGTGCACTGCTTGGGGCCAGTCATAATGGAACACTGACTACTGGGTAAAAACATTTAATTTACTGTGTGGTGTTGTTTATGCTGTGTGAGGCTTTGAGGAGCATGCAGTGTGTGGTGCTATCTGTTCTTCAAAAGGTTTGATCTTATTTGCGTCCTAGGTTACGGTGATAAATACTCTTGTTTGAACCTAAGTAATTCCCCATTTTCAGTCTTGCTGTTCCAGATAGGCTGGAAGAGTGTTTTAGGATTAAGGAATATGCCATGTTCTATTTTTTGCATCTACAATATATATAGTTCTAATGTGAATTACTGAGCAGTCCCAGTGTGCTCATACTCACTCATTAGTGCCATAAAAATCTTGGGATTTATTTAGCAAGCCTTGATATGTAGAATATTTTACCTTCATTTTAAATGGTATTGTGCCAAGGCCCTTTGGAAATCATCTGTCTAAAACTTAGTACCTATTGGCTTTAGAACTGTGTTTAAAATAACTTTGTCAAAGCATATTTGAGTTTTTATTGCTACATTAAACCACTTTTTACTGTGTCATAAAATGCATAGGCAGTATTTACACTTCCAAATATTTTAAATGTGTAGCCTGGCCGTTTTGGAAAGATGAGATATTGGCATTGCTCATTTCATTGGGGTCTTAGCAAGAAGGCTGCACTGTCATCCTTTCATTACTGCACAGATGTATATGCTGGACATCCTAGTTAATGTATCTTATGTGAGCAGAACAACCTGATAGGCCACACTGGAACACTCATCCAAGCCTTGGACTCCCAACACATGAAAGGTGTAGAGCTGTTAGAGTGAGTCCAGAAGGGGGCCGTGTAGGCGATCAGAAAGCTGGAGCTCCTCTTTTTATGAAGAAAGGCTGAGAGAGCTGGGCTTGTTTAATTTGGAGAAGATTCTGGGTAGACTTTCATGTAATTGAGGGGAGCATACGAACAGGAGAGAGACTGACTTTTTGTACAGTTTGACAATGATAGGACAAGCAGGAATGGTTTAGGTCTAAAAGTGCAGAAATTTAGATTAGATGTTAGGCAGAAATTATTTACTCAGAGGGCAGTGAGGCTCTGGCACAGGTTGCCTGGAGAAGTTATGGATGCCCCATCCCTAGAAGCAATCAAGGGCAGGTTGGATGGGGCTGGGGGCAGCTCTGCCTACAGCAGCAGGTTGGAACTGGATGAGCTTTAAGGTCACTTCCAACCCAAGCCATTCTACAGTTCTGTGATGATTCTATGATTTTTAACCATTGCTTTTTCATTAGATGTTACAATGTGAATAATTTCAGGAATGTTCCTTAGCAGTGCATAGAAACCCTCTGCAAGTAAAGGAATATGTGATTGCTTTGCTCCAGTGCCTTTGAATTGCTTTGGCAGAAATACAACTTCATATTCAAAAAATATTTATTCCATATTGCCTTATTAACATACCTTAACACTGTTCTTGAGGGAGCCGTTCTAGCGCTGATAGGTAGCAGTCAAAGTTTGGTGCTAGTGAAATCTTTTGCATCAACTGAGGCTGCTGACAAGTGTACTATTTCTGCAACAGGCACTTGACCTTTAAAAACTAGCCTTGGATCACTTAGCCACTTCACATTCATCCTGAAATTGCTGTGACACTTTAATTGGGAAGAACCTGATGTTCAGATTTAATTGTCAAGTCTATTTAGAAGTGGGGTACACAGTACTTATTGTCTATAGTGAAGTACTGTACTACTCAAACTTCTATTTTGATGCTCATTTTATCCAATAAGTTTAAAGAAAAATATAATTGTGAATGTATTGAAGCTTTGACCAGAACTGTCATCTGCATTAGGTTTTGCACCTCAGTTTGTTCAGTAAGTTTTAACTTCACATGATTTTTGTTGGAAAGTGGATCTGAATTTCAGAACATCAAATTATCATCCTTTGCCCCATCCCTCTTTCAGGAGAATGACTATTGATTTCAATAGAGAATATTCTGAATTGTATTTCAACTCAGAAGTTCTCACTGTTTCCCCACAGAGTCTAACAGAGTTTATTGTGAAGTGGAAATTCTTTCTTAAACTAAAAGGGGCAATAACCCACACCTCCAAAGTTCTTAGCATAGAAATAAAGGGCTTTTCTAAAGTAGAATCCTGAATAAGAATCAATTTCAAAGTCTTCCTTTGGCGATTACTGACAGCAGATTCAAAGTACTGCATCTGGAGATTAAGCTTTAAGAAGTGTAGTCCATATGCTTGACAAGCATGTTTTTTGTATAAATGAGTGAAGTATCTGACAAAAACAATAGAGAAGTAAAAACAACAATAACAAATAAACAGCAACTCAACCAACCAAACATAAAGTAACTCCACAAAACAAAACTAAAACAAAGTATAAAAATGAGACACTTTTTTGATGTTTACTGACATCTGTTGTACTGCTAGGATGGTTACACTGCTGTTTCCAACATCTGTTCTGTCCAACCCCCCGCACAGCTAATCTACACTTTGATCAGTGTCCACTTCATTTACAAAAAGGCAGAAGGGTTTTATATCTGCTGTTTTATACAATGTATTTGCTGGAAGGAAAAATTGTTGAAGATCTGGGGTAAACATGATACTGAAATCTTCAATGAATATTTGCAGTTTTGTAATTATCCCTTTTTGTGCGTTTAATAACCTTAACTTGGTCATTTATAGTACTGCCTGTCAATTACTGTCAGTAGCTTTTCAAAGGAGGAAGCTCATTATGAGTCTCTCTGATACAAGTTTTACTTGAGCACGGAGAGGTGATCACCTTTATTGGCCAAAAGCCAGTGTCTCTTCCTGGAACTGTATCAATAAAGGCTTACAGAGCTTGCACAGATAGTATGAATGTTTACTGTTTGCAAGTACTGCAATCACAGAAAACAAGCCACTGAATCAGGACTGAAATTGGAATTCACACAATCAAAATTTTGAAGAGCTACTTAAGTCCAGAGGAAGAGATGTGCTGTGAGCTAGATGCCAGTCAATACAGCTGGAATTTCCAACGCTGAATGAGAGCAACCATTTATTCAGGTAGAATGTATAAATGATTCCCTAGATAACTTCTGGAGAGCAACACATCCTTGAAAGTCATGGAATATTCCTGAACTATTCATACAGAAGGTGGGGAAATAAGTTGCATGCTTTTAGTTACTCATAAAGCTCATGCTGCACTTCTAATGTGCTCAATGTCTTGTAGATGAAGGACTTCTACAGGTCTTGACAAACTTTCAAATCTGCTAAGTTTAAATTAGATATCAGGTGTGTATGACCACCTTCATCTCTTCAGTCTCTAAGCAGGCTTGTTTCCTTTTTTTTTTTTTGCATAGTTTGAACTTTTTCATGTAATCGAAGAAGTGCAAAGTCCTCTAGAATAATCTTTTCAAGGAAAATCAGATCCTGTTAAAACAACTGTTTCTCCAATAATGTTCTGGCAGAAGTGAGTTCTGACTTCTTGACTGAGGAATGCATTCATAATAATTGCTACTGTTCATCCTTATGGAAACTGGAGATGCCATGAAAGAGATGGGTGATGTCACAGAATTGAAGGAGTGGCAGCTGTGATGCTGGCAATGATCTTTGCCCTCCTGTAGTCTCTCAGACAGTCTCTGGTAACTGTGTGCAAGTAGACTCAGTGGACTGAAAGAGTGTTTGGCCATAAAAGCTGGGAGATGACAGGGGATTTATATATCTTTTATAGATGTGTATAATCCTGTTTTAATTTATTCCCAGTTGCTTGTCCACTCCATTGAGACATTTAACATTGGAACGTTAACAGAACGCCAACTTTGTGGCTTGGACTTGTCAGAGGTATATTTTAACTTTACTGTAGGTAATATAATACTGAGTTAGCCATTCATTTAATTTCCTTGCTTTGCCTTTGTGCACCTAGGTCTTCAAGCATATTGTAGTGTGTTGTTTTTTTTCTTCAGACATGACTTCTTGTAATGTGTGTGTATGGTAACTGTTGAGTCATGGCCTGAAGCACTGATTGAGCACCTGGGGGAAAAGACCGGGTCAGCCCTGGGAGCACAGGTGAAGGCAATTCAGCCGTGTGATGGAAGGGGGTGGAGCCTGGGTGCACCTCTCTTAGACCTCATTTAAGGGCTAATTGCCACTGGAGAAGGATTTCTGGTTGGAGATCCTTCCCTTGTAGTGTTTTCTTTGGAAGTTTTGATCTTCAGAGAAAGGTGAGCACTTTTCTTTTGTAACACCGTTCTGTTTGCGCTAGCACCTTTACTGCTGCACTCCTCTATCACCCTGTACTGCATTGAGCTTTCTGACTGTGATAGTCTGTGATTTTGTTCACTCAGAGAAATGCTCTGGTCTCTTTTCATGTTGGGGCACGTTTTCTAGCAGAGAAAATTATTAGGCTCCTCCTTTTTCTCTGTGATTGGGACGCATAATTTTGATGACAGCAGCTATTGGTAGTTCTGCAGTTGTCTGTACTGTGCGATACATTTTCACTCTCTTAGATCATCCGAGGCATGCATGCCTCCTATTTCCATGTGCTACTTCTGATACTGATTGGAGTAACAAAATATGTGTATTTGCTAATGGTTATTTTTAAAAAATAAATTATTTTAAGTTCAGTATGTTGTACTACTTTTATATTGGTTTCTTTCATGTAGACATCTGCTTTTGTATCTTCATGAAATTCTGCTACTTCTCTTCAATATTTCTCCTGGTTTTCACCAGTAAGACAAACAAAGTTATTGTGATTTCTGTGGTTAATATGAGAAAAGTTTTTGGAATTGTTTTTTAAATATTATTTACATAATATTTTTCTCACTTATGTTTGGAATCTACTGGAATTTCTGGATAAGGCTGCTTTTAGAGCATCTACCATAAATTGAAAACAATTTAAGGAAAAGCCTAAATAAGGGAGAGTTATAATATTGGGACCTTAAGAAAATGTAGGAGAGAAGAGGGAACAACTAACAAGCAAAACCTAAACAACAACAAAAAAAAATCCAAAGCAAGATTAGAATGATGAAGAAAGCTGAAGATTCTCAGGGTTTTTACTTGCTTAAGGGATACAGAGAAGGATGCTATCATCGGTAATTGAGGTGAAATTCTATTGTGCTTAATACCCGGGGAGCATACTCAATATCTTTATCATGATGCCTGTCAGGTCAGACTGCTATAGATAAGCCTCACATTACATATCATCCTGAACAAGAAATTCTGGTTTATACTAACCAAGGAAAAAAATCTGACCAGCAGTGAACAATAGCTACAAATCTATCCAGGAACAGGTGAGCGTGTTTTTCTGTAGTTTTGGTCAGTTGTAAGCACTGAAAGCTGGTAAGCAATTGGCCAAATCCATCTGGCTTTGTTGGGGAACAGTAGTTAGCTGGAGATTTCTTTCGTCTTTACAGTGAAATAATTAAATTCAATGCTAATTTTGCAAGTTAGTGTTTATTGCAAATCACCAGAGATTCTGTTTTTGCAGAACCTTTGTATGAGATTATGTTCAACCTAGTATACTTTGGCCTATTTCTAGTCGAAGAAATAAAACTGCAGTGAAAATTGTAATATTTTGGTGCTTACATGTGACACTTTTTTTTTTTTTTTTTTTTTAAGGGTTACTTTCAGTGCTAATGATTATATCCCTTTTACATGTGATGATGCAAGATGAATATGTTAAAATTAATTTTCACAATGATCATTAGTTCAGCTTGGGAGCAGTTTTTGACAATCTTCTCTGCTTACATCTCATCAGCATGTGTGGATTGAATAAAGGCAGAAATTTGCATGCTGCTGAGCAGCTGTTGCTCTTTTCGTCATGCATGTGATTATTTTAAAAACACAATTTCTTTCACAAGTGCATTGAAGTTCTCTGCCAGAGAGTGGTCAATCCTCTCCCTCAGCAATTAAATCAAGCCCACTTGTACCCCTGTCTTGATTTTATTCATCACTAAATTATCCATGTTTATTATATTCATACAGATTATTTTCTTCACTATGCTGTTTTTTCTGCTTTAGATGGTATATTTGGTTGAATTGTAAGTAAAATAGAGGAGGTTAATATGCCTGTGATCGGCTGATCAATCACTGGATTCCCTGAGAGAAACCACTTGCATTTCTCTCTTTTCCGAGCTTGTGGTTTCATCAGCACCTCCTGTTGTTATCAGACCTTAGAATTTCAATTGTATGATTTTTATTTTTTCTCTGTACCCTTTGCTTTCTGTAAATGTCAGAACATGTCTATTTTTTTTTTTCCACTGTTTTTAACTCACATCTCGCTGTGATAATACTACCCTTTTAAAGCTGCTATTCCTACTTGTTAAATTTAATGTACATAAAAGAGCCTTCAGGTACCATAAGCATATAACCATGCTTTTTTGAGTTTTTTTTTTGTCTTTTTTTTTAATTCTTACAAGCTTAAGTGAGAGATGGGTCATTTTGGGTTGTTGTTGGTGGTTCTTTTAGAACAGTTTTCTAGGCAAAAAGTGCAGAAGAATAGTGAGATGGATGCCAGCAGGCACAAGCTCAGCTTTAAGATTTGCTGTATGCCTATGGGATCAAGGTGTTTCTACTGTGTGTTTAGGTAGAAATTATATAGTTGACCTCTCTGCTTCAAAATCTGATGCTCTTAATCTAAAGTAGTAGCTGTGTGATTCATATTAATATCTGAGTATATCCCAGTCTTTCAGTACTCATTCTCATGTCCTTGTAGATAGGGATGAGGGACACTGGAAAGGTTAATTACTTAAGAGGTCATACAGGAAACTAGTAGTGTATTCTCTGTTACCCTGCTTTGTCGTCTTATTGTATCTACCATTTTATCATTGTATGTGTCCTTAAGTTTGATCCCAGTTTTCTTTTTAATCTTTCACACTGTTGTTGGAGGTGATTATTTCAATCCCAGCTTCACTTCCTCTGAATTCTGAAAATTCTAATGGTGTGGGAACAAGCTTTGATTCAGTATTTGAGCACGGAAGACACCAAAATGTGTGTGACTGTATCTACTCTAGTGTCTTAGATTGGTACTTAGAAGTACTTCGAGTACTCCTAATTGTCCATGTAGGAGAATCAGTTTGGAACAGAGGAACCATGCTTCTCCAGGAAGAAAACTAAGCAAAGATGCCGGAAGTGCACCTAAAACACTTCAAAAGCAAAAGGTTGCTTGCTCTGTAGGGCTACATTGGACCAAGCATAAAGTAAAGCTCCTGGAATGGTTACAGAGTGGGCACTGACCTCAAAAGCTGCTTCTTGGCCCACAAATCTACCCATATTGAGCCAGTAGTACATGCCAGGGCAACTCTAAGTGAAAGTTGTGAATTCCTAGAACAGGAAGCCTGCTCTAAAAGTGCTCCCTTCCTGTTTTACTGTGCCTCTATATTGTTTTCTTTGATGAGTCAGAATGCATGCATGTGTTTATATTCCTCATGAGCACTAAGATGAATGTCAGATTTTTGTTGGGTTGACAGCCCCTTTTTAGTGCCTTTTATTTTAATGTATTTAATTAGAAGCCCTTACCATGGAAGGTTTAGTGCACAATAGGTCTTTGCTACATTATTTGTTTTGTCATCTAAGCTGTGTGGTATTGTTTAAATGTTGTTCTCACTCTTTGTTTTCCTAGTTCCAGCTGGGAAACCCAAATTCTTTGAGCAAACAAATTGTGACTAGAAAAAATTTTCTGAAGTTCTGCTAAAATTCACAGGATCTGCGGTTTTCAGGCACTACTCAGGATGTCTGGCAGGCATGTGAATAGCAAATTGTTCTCTGAATTGTAGTGAATGAATTCTTGTTAATAAGTAGGGTTTTTTTTTTTTTTTTTTTTTTTTTTTTTTGTAGTAGTAGTAGCAGTAGAACTCAGCTTTAAAGACAGAATTTTGCTAAAATATAGGCAATAGGAGGGTAAACACTACCAAAATAAGTATTAGTGCTGTCCCTGTGGGATGTTGCTAGGTACTGGGAAGCCTTAAAATCCCTCCTATTACCACTCTCCTCCAAATCACTTTCAAATCTTCTAAGTGAAATACTTCCAAACAACAAGTCTAGTGAATAAAGCAAAAGACTAGTTATTTTTATACTATTATTTGGAGGAAAAGGGGATATTTTTCTCTTATTCTTTTTTGATATTGCATATCATTAATTTCTACTGGAAGAAGAAACCAGCAGGTGCTCAGCTCATACCTATTGCTTTAAGTTCAGTTGGTCTCTAATTTCACTAGCTTATTCTCCATAGAATGTACTTTCCACTAGGATTCTTTAATGTTATCAGTGGGAGTGAGCAGAACAACCGGAGTACTATGGAATTAAGAGGAAAAATCCATAAAACCTGATGTAGCAGAGCAGCATCAGTGTTTTGTCTGCCAGCGTTTGAGAAGATGGCGGGATGCATGTAGCTGGCAGCTGGATTTAAAATAGGGAAGTATCTCGTGTAAAGGATCTCCTATGAGCTGGTATTGGGAAAGGCACTTGCAAGCAGAATCTCCCTCTCTGTATTACCCTCTTCCAGGGTATAGATAATGCTAAAGCTTAAATGATCAGTGTTGGCTTTTGGCGTGCAAAAGATGACGTTAAGCAGAGTGAATGCTCTCTAATGAAACACAATGACAGATGACAGCCTCTTGCTCTTGGAGCTGGGCATTCTTTTCAGGGGAAAATGAAAATTTCAGGAACAAGGATATAGAGAAACTTGGTCATGGCAAGGATTTTAATCCTGCATGGAAATCTTTTCTGAGTGAAGGTCAAGGAAAATAGCTTATTTTATACTCTATTGATTATTTTATAAAACTCTAAAATACGCATCAGGATGTGCTGAGTTTAAATCTGCCTTTGGGAGCAGTCCAAATCTAATGCCTTGGAGGAAGGGGAAGGCAGAAATAAGATTCAAAAACACTATTCCAAACCTCTGGAGAGGCCTTCCTTGTTTGGAACTTGATTCATAAAATTAACTTCTTTCTATCAATCACTGCTTTCTATTTCTATGCTGGCCTGCTTCGATGGATCAGAATCTAGTTAACAGGTTTTAGCTTATATCCTCCTCTAGGCTGGAGGAACTAGTGGTAAAGGTGAAGACCATTGATGGAAGCAGTTTATTTACTGTTTCATTGCCTCAAAATGAATTCAGACCTACTCCTATCCTCAAAACTGACTTTTCCTTAAAAAAGAAACAAACAGAAAATGAGCAACAAACAAGCAAAAAGAAACAAAAGCCCATTTAAAACAGTGTCTC